GGTTCGGTTCAAATGTTTTCCTAATTTGGTACGACTGGAAAGATATGGAGATAAGAAGCTGCTTACTCTTATTTATATAAGCAGATACATGAACTTTGTTCGGTACAACGATGAGAAATTACACAGCGAAACGAACAAGTACTGCAAACGATTTGAGCTTAAGGCTCCCAGTTCCTAATGGAAGATTTACACTTCAAAATCAAAGCCAGAACCATGAGAATTATCGTTATACCACACGAAGAACCGCCAACTCTGTGAATCCAATAAGGATCAAACCTGGAAAAGCTTCGGTCTAAGTAAAGCGACAAAGCAATGGCCAAGATCAACACCAAGAGAAGAAGAGGCAGCCAAGAAGCAAAGTTGATAGGCTCATCTGGATCAAGCTCTGAATCATCTATAGTTCTTCGGTCGATATAGAGAGGAGAAAGCACGGCTAGAAGGGCCAACCCTATCGCCACCAGCTTATCGTATGACGAAAACCTGCTCGTCCTCCTCGTAGCTCCGAGCTCCATTTTAAGCTACCAACACAGGAGCGGCAGGAGAAACCACCTGCTGTTTTCTGACTTGGATGCTTTTTGAAAGAGTAGAAGTTAGCAGCTTAAACATGAAGGCTCAAGTGCAAGATAGAGTGGGAAAGATAAACATGAAGGCTCAAGTGCAAGATAGAGTGGGAAAGATTATTCTCCATTAACAAAAATTTATGAATAATTTGTACTGGCTGTGGCTGAATAATAATTTGGAATCGGATTCCACATGCTTCCCATGAATTTTTCACTCTCGTCTTACTGAGTTGAATCTGTTGAGAGTATCAATTCCATATCAGAAAAATGAGGAATCTTCAATGTGCTTATAAGTAGTTGAGCTATTCCCCACGTTGCCAATTGGTTTTATGATAGAACCTCAACTTTCTTTATGGTATCAGAGCAAGTTGTCCGCGTGTGAAGACTAGCGATCACACGTACCCTACGCCTCCCGATTCGTGTTGTCCACATGATAGACTTGAAAATTCGCTACACATATGGGTGTGTGTTGAGAATACCAAACCCACATCGGGAAAATGAGAGGGGCCTTGCATGTGCTTATAAGTTGTTCTGCTCCTCACGATATGCCAATTGATTTTATGGTGGAACCTCAGCTTTCTTAAAAAATCGTTAAAATGGTAGCAAATTTGATATTCATATTTTAATTATTTGCACTCTAAATTGAATATTTTATATTTTTTCTGCACGCTCAGAAACATGCAATAGGCTAAAAGACGAGCATTAAAATCTTCGGCCTAGTTGAAAATAAGGAAAACTAATGACACTACTACAAAAGTGGCTTATTATGTCGGTTTTATATAATATACTAGCGGATAAGACATTTCCGACACCCTCCTTACATGTTGTTGGAATTAATATCGGGTATAACCGACATAAACGGTTTATGTCGCTTATAACTGACATAGACTGTTTTTAAATAGTGGTGTCGTATGAAAAGAAAACCGTGTCGCTTTCAACCAACATAAAGTTAGTGTCAATTAAAAAAAGAATCGTGTCACTTCTACCGACACTAATAATTATATTTAAATATTTTAAAACCTAGTGTTAGTTGCAGCCGACACTAATAATTATTTTTATAAAGGAAGTGGTGAAATCACACACACTTAACTACAAAATTTAGAGAAGGCGTGGGACAAGAATTTTGCAAAATTTCAAACATCTTTGAAATTTAAAAATTTCACAACACTTCGGCACACTTCTCAAAATAAAAGGGAAGTTCAAATTTTATTTATTGGTTTATCTCGTCCCATCAGCTAGTAACTGCGAAACTCCCCCTCCCTAAATCGTGAGAAATTTTTTCGATTTTCTTGCTTCTTTCTTCCTTTTCCACATTGAGTCCTCAAGTATCTCCACCACTCTCTCTCTCTCTCTCGCTTTCTCCCCCTCTTAGGTTGGCTACCAATAAAATCCCAATTCACCACTCTTCTATTTCCTCGGTAACCAAACAGAGAACCCATTTTGTAAAGCTCCCAACTTTCTCCTTCAATTGGATTAAAATTTGTTAATTTTGTGTCAAATGTTGACTTGAAACTTTGTGGTTTAGTTTGTGAAGGGAATTTATGGAAATGGACATTGATGAGCTTCTGGGTCGCAACCGGCCGATGAGCATTTCAACGAAGAGGGCGATTTACTTGTGGAGATATAGCAAGTCCGAGCAGACGGGTCAGAATGGGAAGAAGCAGCAGTTGAAGATCCCGAAGCAGCTCTCCGAAGCTTTTTGGGTGCTCGGCGAGGGCTAATTGACGGTGGCTAGACATTGCTTGTGACCGCTAGCATACCGCCTTTGCTGCCTCAGATGGGTTGCTTTTCACTTGGGGTAATTAAGCTTCATCTTTTTTATTTTATTGTTTTATTTTTTTATAAATTTCAATTCTTCCATTTTTTAATTTAATCAAGTAATTATAAATTGTGTTTGGTTTATGTGCATTAGATAACCAGAATGTGTAAGCAATTGTTCAGGAGCTAGTGATTTCGGTCTGTTAGGAGATGGAACGAAGCAGTTAAAAACTGAGACAGACTTTATTTTTATTTTTATTATTAATGGTTTGTGGTGTCACTTATGGACGACAATATAATTGTTATTTTATTATCAAATTATTAGGTGGTGTCTCCATCCGACATTCATTGTCAGTATTTAATGTCGCCTTTATCTGACATGAGCCTTGATGTCATTTTTAACCAATGCTACTGTCCTTTTTTATTTTATATTGCTTTCCTTCTTCGTGGCGGATTAAGGGGACTAACCGATGTCGATACCCTTTTCGTGACACTAGCAATGGTGTTGGTTCCCCTATCCGACATTGCAAGATTTGATGTCGAATTTTTGGTAAAAATCCAACAGTAATTGGGGTTTCTTGTCGATTTTTACACCGCCAGGGATAGCCTCTTTTGTAGTAGTGTGAAAATGGCTTGAAAACTTTGAGTTTTAACAAAAATGACAAAAATGTGTTGTAAGTGAATAGTATCAAGAGTGACTTTTTTGAGTAAAAATGTCCTTAATGTTAAAAGTGAATAGTATCATGAGTGTTTCATTAAGATTCCCTTGAAAATATTACTAAAGTTGATTAATTTATCAAGAGAAGGAATACAGGTACAGGCAAAACTACCCAAATCAACTTAGGTCTAATGAATAAACCCAACAAAGAAGAGATGGGGGACTTCACAGTTCAAACTTTTCTCTTGGCATGGCTTTTTATCTGCATCATCTTTCTTATGATGATGTCATTGTGATGGTATTCCACATCAATCAAGCACCGTCGTGTGCTTAAACTGCATTCACATGACCATGTTTGATTGGTTGAGGATAGCGCCATAATGGCGTCTCAGTTACAAGTAGGTTTCCCTCCTCAAGTTCTGTTTGGGATAAAACTTGAACGTTGGGTTAAAAAGGGGTTAGCCCAAAAGAAGGTCCAGAAGGAGGAAGAGTCCAAGGCCCAGCTGAAGCCCAGAAGAAAGAATGAGCATTTTTCCCGACCAAGTGCAGATCATTCAAACCACCTACTCACCTACCTAGAGCTCAAGTGGTGTAGACCAGCCAGCTAATCAGCCCAAAAGTACTTTACAATGGCAGTACAAGTAAAAAGTTGATGAGTCACTGCCCTTCAGATGCATTCGGGCAAAATCAATATTGCAGGCAGCCAAGCCAATTCGTCTATAAAAGGAGGAAGAAAAATCAGAGATAATGACACTCAATCAAACAAACAAATACAATCACAAACTCTGCTCAAACCAGATTTGCCTTCACGAAGCTGTAGTCAGCCCCCAAGCCTTCATCTCTTTCGGGATCAATCTTCACCAGAAAGCCTTTGTAAAAGCTCTGCTACCCTGTTTAAATATTGTTGTAGTATCGATTCCCTCATGTAAACTCATCTTCCAATCTCCCCTTCTAGCATTCAAACCCTTTGTAAATCACAAAGAGAGGAAATTGCAAGACGATCAGCCTTGCCTAACAAAGTGAAACCTTGCCCGACCTCCTTTGTTTTTGTCTTTCATTCATAAATCTAGTAATATGATGTATATTTCCATCTGCATCCAAGTTATTTCTAGCCAGTTTATGACTAAAAGACTTCTAAGTTCTAACCATTCGGGCAGACAAGATTGATCAATTAAAAGTCCTTGGTCTCAAGGCATAAAAAAAGAACCCTATGTGGACTTAACCCATCCACGACAGTCCTTGATAACAAGAAGTCTGAAGTTACTTAGGTCGCAAGTAATTGGCCTATTTTCTAGTTTTACTTTTGTTATATCATGATTGCTACAGAACGCTTGAGTATAGAATTAATTCTGATAGGAAGCCTCAAGGCCTATATCTAAGGCCCGATAAAGGCACCTATCTAAGTTTGTTCTGCTCTGCGGGCTCGGGCGATTAAAGTATAACGGTTGTGATACTTCTGCAATAATGAAACAACTAATATATGTTCAAGTATATGGTTAGTTTTGACGGGAAGTCTCAAGGCCTACACCTAAGGCCCCACAAAGACACCTTTCATAACTAACTTGGTCTCTCGGAGACATATATATAAAATAAAACTTAACATTGGTTTTACATCTGTCATGCTAAAGATGGCAGTGGCACGCCTGGGTACTTAAAGTTAATTTTGATTGTGAGCCTCAAGGCCTACACCTAAGGCCCTACAAAGGCACCTTTCAGAATTAACTCTGTCATTCTCTTACAGCCCGCCAATAAGCAGAAGCCCGACAGACAATATCAACCGGCGCCAACCTCTCAGGGAGCTGTGTACTCGTTGGCCAGGAAACGTCCTCACTGGATATTCCTCAAGATGAACAAGTTCATTACTCCACACTATTTATAGTAAGCAACATGAAAGCATCAATAGAACCACTATCTTTATGCCAGGCAAAAATTTTCTTCAATCTCAGCCAAGTACAAAACAAACAAGGGACTAGCCGGAAGATTAGTGTTTGGTACTCGATATTGCAAGAGAATACAGTGTAAACCTAACTGACACCGCCGGAGCTCTTCGTGGTGTTGTTGTTGCTGCCCTGGAGCCTCGTCAACCATTTCTTCTGAGGTGTAGAGAGGTTGGTAATTCCAGTAGGGGGAAGCAACGAGTTGTTGGGAAGCTCCTGACGACGGTGACGATGGAAGCTCTGCCGGTAGAGCGGCAGCTGTGCTTGTCAAGGCCTTCAAAACCAGGAATGCCAGAATGGGAGAGAGATCCAATGTGCCTCCAAGTGGTGGGATTAAACCCCGAAATGTGTTCAAGTACGGATCACTTATCGTGCTGCACATCATATCCACGTCCACATCATAATCATTTCGATGTTTTTTTACCCTGACAATTAGTTATATTATGTTGTCAGACTGTAAATTACGAAAAGTAGAATTCTGGGATCCTAATTCACAGTTTGTTCAAGTAAAATATCGAACATTGATAACCAAAATCAAATCATGACAATACCTGAGGGGTGCAACGATGGCAGGAGGGGAGTTGGGGAACGAGGCGAGGACAAGCCTAACGACCAAAAGAGTGTTGTACAAGTTCAAGAAGTTGGAGATGCCGTTCGCCACCACAAGCCCCACCACCAAATCTCCCGGCAACACCGCCGCAAAATTGTGAGCCGCTAATGTCTTCACCTGCCTATGATTTCTGCACCCAATCTGAACTCAACCATTTTTAGACTACCTTTTGTAGACCATGTGACATAGCGGTTGATTGTTGGGCTAACTTTTGAACAATTTTAAGAAGTCCAACCATTAACCGCTACGGCGAGACTGTAAAGTGTATCGATACTGAAATTAATTCACCTGGTGGCAGATGCTTTTTTCCTCACGACGGGGTATATGATTTATTATTTCTTTTCCGAATTAGTAATTTGTGGTGAAGTATCATCGTTTTGCATTATTTTTTCATGTCCTGGTTCATAGTTGACATGTTCCACCAGCCAAAAACTCACTAAATGATTTAGTCGAAGCATAGCCGGCATGCAGAGGGGGGACGTAGACTGGACTCGGACGTTGTCTAAACCAAAAACTATGAACAAGAAAGTACTCCCAACTTTGAAGCTCACTGACGATCCAGGTCCTCTCCGGCCCAATGAAACCAGTATCACTCACTGTAACATGCCCAGTTCTTTTTTCCTGTTTTTTTTTTTTTCGATTTATCGAGAGGATGAACTCAGTTGGAGGCCTCTTTAGTTGGCAATGGAGGAAGTAGGGCAGCTCTTTTCATACAAGATTTCTTAACTCTCGGATGTTGGAACACTCTCGATATTCTCACTTGTAGCGGAACGCAAAATAAAACACTTGGACGACACAAATAATCTATAGAGCGATGTTTGAATTTTATCTCGTGAAACATGTTGCCTATTATAAGTGATCTAGGACTATTTTGAACACAAATAAACGTTAGGTTCACACTCAGGCGGAACCAAGATCTAATATTATAATGTGGAGAGTTTCGCACATCCAAAAGTTAGGAGAGTTGGACTACTCCCTTGTTATATATCGAATCTCGATTTTGAAACTTTATCTTACTTCACTTTCAATACTGACATGCCGTTAGTTATTTATACATTCATTTAGTTGTCACACTCACTTTTTTCATTTTTATTCATTAGACCAAATAAATAAAAGAAGAATTAAGGGGCATGATTAAGATTCGATTTCCAGCAGAGTTGTCCTTCCTTTTATTTGATGTTATCTAATATCCTAGTGAATAGGATGTTGAGTTTCTACCCATGTATCCAGCGTTCAAAACTTTCCCTTTCAAGATTATTGTAATAATTTCGAACCCTTCCCATTCTCGTTAATAACAATAAATTATATATATATAAAGGGCATAATTAAGAGGAGGTGTAGGTTTTTAAACATTTTGTACAATTACAAAAAGGTATTGATATCAAGAAAAATCCATGCAAAAAATGGTAGGATAATTGAGTAAATTTCTCGGTCGGGCCCATCAACCTTTAGTTTTTGCCCTTTTTACTCTGGAGTGGGATGGGCCTATTGGGCCATTTCGAAGCGGTCCACCGAGAAAATTTTTATAGCCGTTAGAAAGAAAGAGCTCCCTGCTGCATTCCATTTAAATCGACGGCTCAGATTCACCCAATTCAAACTTCAATTCAGTCAAAACCCTCCCCTCACAATCCCTCCGGTCCATATAAAATCTCTCTCTCTCTCTCTCTCTCTCTCTCTCTCTTTGATCTTCGTCTAAAATTCACAACTCTCTCTCTCTCTAGAACTCGCATTCTTGCTGTGATCCGAATCCATGGAAGGTACTCTCTCTCTCTCTCTCTCTCCAATTATTTCTTGTTTTGTTATTAAATTTCTGTTAAATCGTTGAGCGAGAGGTGTAATAGTCGCGAATGTTTCCGCTTTAATCAGATCAAACGGCGGAAATGTTCCCCCGGAACTGCAAAGACCTCATTCCAGATCTCGACTCCAAGCCCTCGTCGACCTCGTCGACCTTTTAATTTTTTTGAATTACAATAAATGTTGAATTTGAGGTTCAGATTCGATTATTACTGCTTCTTATAATTTGAATTTTATTTCCGGTCGAAGAAAATGTTGAAGTGGGAAATTTTCTGATTCGATTTCATCCCTCTTTTACTTGAGTTAAAGCCCTAGAGACGATTACATCTGCAATTATTGGCTTTTTTAATCTCTAATTTTGTAATAAAAATTGGGAACTCTTTCAATTGAACTGTTACATTGTGAATTTCAATTGAGTTGTTCCGTCGAGGGAGATTCTGAGTTGATTGGTGAGAGTAGCACGTCGAACGGAACTCAAGAAGGTTCTCCATGTCGGATGGTCCCTCCAGTTTTGCAAAGCATACTAGAGGCACCATTGTTTTCCCAAATTTCAGTCACCAAATATGTGGAAGTTGGTATCAGACGCGAGTCAGGCGTCACCAATTATACTGTGAATTCCGGTTACATGTAGAATTTGGGTTTATTTTGGTGCCGGTAGCACTGCTCTTAAAATACAAAGGCGCTTGCCTCTTCATTGTATTTAGCAACCCCAGTATTGTTTCATTTCACTCTGAACTATCTGCCAATTACTTGACGTATTTCTGCTTTTTGGAGAATACATCTCATATGGAAAACCTGTCCTTAATGTTTTTTCAAACAAGTACGTATGTTTCTTTTGCAGGTTGTTTCTTGCCCTTGTGCACCACCTAAAATTTTTTGTTGTTGCATATTGTTCCTCATATACCAAAAGCTTTTGAATGTGACAGCTTATTCGAAGGAAAGCTGCACTTAGTTGCTGGCCCTTTCGAACATGCTTACAATTATGACTCGTTATGACATTAATGTAGTTCTGGAAGGTTCTGATTTTACTTTTACTGCACTGAAAAATGAGCAGGAGCAAGGCAAGGGCTCCTTGTGAGAGGAGCAGATGTGCTTGAACGCTTAGCCGGTGTAGATTAGATTGCTTTAGATAAGGTAGATTTACATTTCAGAACATCATGATCACACACATAAACTGGTTTTCAAGCTCTTTTATATGTGAATCTGAAATCTCAATCTGAACCTCAACCTTACAGAAGGACTGACATGGAGAACCTTCTTGTCTGATGAAGCCAAGCTCACAATGAATCCCTTTCCGGACCCTGCAGTTCTAAACACCATTCAGCTGCCAAGTGAGCCCTTTTATATTTGATCACTCACGATTATTTTCTAACTTTCCTTCTCTCTTGATTGTAATTGGTTGTTTCTGGATGTCTAGGTATTGAACATGAACTTTTAAACAAGAACAATAGAGACGTTACAATGAAGTAGTTGATTAATGGGGTGGGAGTGATTTGAGTGGAGTGAATCGGTCCACATGCAGAAGCTTGATCAGAATTGTCCTGGTATGATTTCTAAATACCCATTTTATAACTGCTGCTTGCTATGACTGTGCTTAGAAACATGCATAGGACTTAACTGCTAGATAAACCAGATTAGGAATGACCTTAGAGACTTAGCAATTCAATGATAGGCTAGGATCATATATATGCTTGTCTGCTTTGACTGTCCTTTGCGTGAAATTCGATTGCTTTGAACTGCTTAAATTTTCTACGATATGTGATAGCTTAGAACTCTTGTGGTTGATGTGAATGAATGAATTGCTGCTGGATGCAGGATCCAGTTTTACTTTATTTTCCTTACACGTCTTAAGATGAGATAGGGCCGCCTTGTACGTCTTAATTGCAACCTACGAAAGTCCAAAGTTTTTCAATCAAAAGCCGGTTTATATCAACTTAGTTTTTCACAATAGAAGTTTGAATTTGTTTTGAAAAGATGAGAATTTTATCCAACAAAATAAATGCTTTTTTCGAATTAAAAACACACAGCAAACAAGAATTTTATTGCAAACAAGGATTTTCACATCTAACAATTTGTACACACGAAACAAAATAGAAAGTTGAAAATACAAAACTTTAAACTAGTATTACTGAAAGAAAAACATATGTTTTGGATTTTTTTCAAGTTAGGGTTAGAAAATTGGGCTGCCTCCTAATAAGCGCTTTAGTTAACGTCTATAGCTAGACGTAGTAGAAGATCGATGGTCAAATCACTTGTTCCTTCAAAGCCACTAACTCACGTGCGCTATCGTAGGATGAATCCAAGTATGGTTTCATCATGTGATCATTCACCTTGAATGTGTTACCACTTTACTTATTAATAATGTCGACAACCTCATGAGGATAGATGTTAATAAGCCAGTATGGCCCGTTCCAGCAGGACTTCAACCTCATTATGAATTTCGTCTAGCTCGTTAAACTGCAATTTACGGTTAGCACCCGCAAATCATAGGCAAAATTTTGCTGTTTAATAGCCCAATATGCCTTATGCTCTAGCTCCATAAACGAGCCGGTACATGCCATGTTTTCCCATAAACGAGCTGAAAGGGAGACATCCTAATCAGAGTTTTATATGTTGTTATGTACTCTCATAGAGCATTGTTTAATTCCAGACTCCAGTCTTTGTAAGTGGAGTTGACTGTTTTCTCTAGGACACGTTTTATCTATATGTTGGAGGCTTCAACCTATAATGGCTACAAGATGGGTGATCCCATATTTTGCAAGGAATGCAGCAAAGGGATTATTCAAGAAGTGCGGTAGATAAAAGCTCTTGGAATACCGAAACGCGAAAAAATTGTATGTTAGAGGAAATCCAAGACCACTGACCCTTTGTTTGTAGGTCCTGAAATTACCTCAACCCACTTAGAAACGTATTCCACAACCACAAGAATGTATTGGTTCTCATGGGATCATGGGAGTAATTCAACAACAAGAATACCCAGCTGCGTCATGTCATTCCACTTGGACTAGTTGCCCACTCGTTGATAACAATTACAAGCTTGACACCAATTGTTTGCATTGTTGAAAAGTGAAGGCCAAAACAACCCACTTTGCAAAATCTTTGCTGATGTTATCTTCGACCCAAAGTGTCTACACGTACAGTGATGGGCAAACTTCAAAACACTTTCTTGCTCATCTTTTGGAATACACGTCAAATGATCTAATATGGGGCAATGGCGCAGGCCTAAGAAAATACCTAGGAGCCCAAGGCCCCCAAGGGTTTATAGAAGGCCATGCATCGATCACACACCTCATGCGTTGGCAGCAGAAGGCCAAGCGTCGACACCCCATTTAGCACTGCAAACACTGCTAGACCCTATTTGAGGCATGCTTGAGAAAATAAGCTTCGAAGTGGAAAACGTTTGACGCAGCCCTAACAACCGTAGAAATGCCTCCCCGAGCAAGGGATCCCAATTACCCTCATGACATTGTTGGGATCCCAATTACCGGCATGGGAAATATGAACACCTTGGAAGGTTCGGCTCCAATGTCGTTCCCAACTCTTGTTCCAACCTCAATAACTATAGAAACACCTTATTGAACAACGGAAGCCACTATAGAGCCACCCTCAGTCATGCATTTCCATGGCACGTAGAGCTAAACCAGGGCCCTTCTATCAACCCTAGGCGACTGAACTTCGACCTCAATGGCCCGAGCAATGTGCCATCAGAAGGTGGTACCCAGTCATGCTACGAGGATGACCCTATCTCTAACAGCTTGGCATAGGAAGCATCACCGAACAAATTCACATAACCTCAGTAAGGTATTTCAAGGGAGACTCCGACCCTTTGAGCCTTATAATGTCATATCGAAATATCATGGCCTTGTACAACCATAGTGACCCCTTAATGTGCAAAATGTTCCTTTCCACACTTAAAAAATACACAATGAAGTGGTATGCAGAGCTCATAACTGGATCCATCATAGATTTTACAACTCTGAGTGATGAGTTCATGAAAGCCTTATCCGCGTATAAGGAGGTAAAAAGTGGAGTGGATACCCTATTCTTGATCAGCCAAAGGGACGATGAAAGCCTCAGGGACTAGATTAAGTGATTCTACACTGACTACGCAGAGGTAGTGATGATCTCATGGTCATCACCGCATTAAAAATGGACTACTCATTGAGTTCGAGTTAGTACGAAGCTTCATTAGCCCAAATATGAGTACATCACCCTCGCAGAATGCTTTAACAAAGCGGAAGAAATAATTGCGTGAGTCGAGGAGTATAGGCGGAATGAAAAGCCATCTAAGCCAGGCCCCATCCCAAGACCGCAACCGACAAACAGAAAAGCAAGTGAACCCCGGTATGAATGCAAGTGAGGTAAGAATAGGCACCCAAGGCATGTGTATCACTCGGAACCACGCAGCAAGCCTCATATGATAAGTCTTTCTTTACCCTCGCAGGTAGTTTGGGTTCAGATTTTTCTTATTTCACTATGCTAAATACTTTCTTCAACAATGTCTTGAACGAGATTATGAGGGAAGTATTCTCCCTAATCTCATTCAAGACGTTGTTGAGGGAAAAATTTAGCAAGGTGAAAGAAGGTAAATCCCTACGAGGTTCCTTGTGTGTGGGTCCGAGGGATCCGCGTGCCTTGGGCGCCTGTTCTTACCTCCTTTGCATTTCTACTGGGGTTTGCTTGGTTTTCTGTCCATCGACTGTAGTCTTGAGATGGGGCCTAACTTGGACGACTTTCCATTCTGCCTATACTCTTTGTCCTACTCGACTATTTCAATTGCCTTGTCGAAACACTATGTGATGGTGATGTACTCATATCTGGGTTTATGGAGCTGTTAAGCTAGAACTCGGTGGAGAGTCCATTTTGAGCTAGAACGCAAAAGTGATGTAGTCTTTTTTTTATCATCGGGTCTATCTACCTTCGCGTATTCAGTGCGAAATCGCTTGATGTAGTCCTTGAGGGTCTCGTCGTCATTTTGGCGAATCAGGAATACCTCCTTATACACTGAGATGGGAGCCCCGCATACCACTTTATGGTTTTTCCCTTAAATGTGGAAGGGAACACTTTGCACATCAAGGAGTCACTATGGTTGTACAAGGCAATGACGTTCTTGTATGACAATATGTGAATTTGTCCGGTGGGGCTTCCTATGCCAAGGCGTAGGAGAAAGGGTCACCCTCGTAGCATGTCTACTACCACCCTCTAACTGTACCTGGCTCAGGTCATTGAGGTTAAAGTTTAGTCGTCTTGGGTTGACAGGGGGGCCCTGGTTTGGCTCTGCGCGCCCCGAGACTGCATGACTAGGGATGGCTCTACGAGGGCTTTCTCGCTCGGGAATGAGCTTCTACGGTTGCTGAGGCTGGAACAGAAGTTGGGAACGACATTAGAGCCAAACCTTCTAAGGTGTTTAGGTATCCCATACCGGTACTGGGATCCCAGCAGTGTTGTGAGGGTAATTGGGATCCTTTTCTCAAGCATGCCATATGGGGTGTCGACGCATAACCGTATGCCAAACAAGTAAATACCATGAGTCCAAGCGCCAAGAGGTGGTTCTTGGCATGGAGGCTCCGATGATTAAGTTAGGAAAGTTTGAGAGGAAATTGGTATAATGTATTTCTGGGGTTCTAAGTGTCTAACTTTGGTTAATGAGTCACCATGACCTTGCGGAGTTGGTCCATGTCATTCGACATTCCTCTGAGTTGTTGGGGACATTGAAGACCAACAAATGAACCATTCTGATGTACGTATGCCACATCAGGGAAGGACAATTTGTCTCTTCCTCATCATGGGCGGAAGACGCAGCCATGCCAGTAGGCACAATCTGACATTTGGCGTGGTTGAGAGGGTACGTCAAAGGTTTAACCCCAAGGAGTGAGTGTATGTTATCATCACTCCGAGAAGATGGTATTTTGGGCCTCACAATCTTCACTATCATGAAATTCTAATCGAGATAAGAAGGTTTATTATACCCAAGCGTTGTGCCAGGTAGTTTCACAATACTACGTAGTCAAAGAGGTAGGCCAACCTCGAAGCTAGAAAGATTGTCAAAAGAGCCGGTCGTGTTTAATCAAGAAATGGATTCAAATTCTACAACCAAATAATGACCCCCCAATCATCTCAATAGAGATAGCCACCGGTAAGGTTACGCGAGTCTTTGTCAACAATGGTAGCTCTATAAATGTCATATTCCTCTTGACCATGGAAGAAAATATCGATAATATCGGCGATATATCGCCGATATTATCATTTTTTTCGTGCACCGATATTTTAGGTGGTATCCAAGGGGTTTTCGGAAAAATTTCGCGATATTATCGATATTATCGCGAAATGTCGGAAATGTGCAAGTCGGAGACGAACGCCGGAGCTTCTACAGCTCCGGCCGACTGTAAAACAACCCCCTAGACTCCGATCTAGGTATGAACATGAAATAGAAGACGAGAGGAACGTTTTTATAACGTCTGTTTGCCGTGAAACGGCCGGAGGTGTTCGGAAAGTTCGTCGACACCCACGGCCTCGCCGGAGATGGGTTTCCATGTTCCCGAGTCGAATTCATCCCAAAAACCTTGCAAAAAGAAGAGATAGAACTTCAATTTGACATCTAACCTTCGATCTAGAACATAAAAAGAAAACCCCAAGCTTACCTAACCGGAGAAATTGAAGGAACTCGCCGGAGCAGGTGCGATGGTGTGCGTGTGGGTGTCGGTGCAGAGAGAAATGAGAGGTGTATGTGGGTCGCGGTGCAGAGAGAAAGGAGAGGGAGGAGCAGAAGGCCGTGGTGTGTGTGTGGGTGGGGTGTCGGTGCAGAGAGAAAGGAGAGGTGTGTGTGGGTGTCGGTGCAGAGAGAAATGAGAGGTGTGTGTGGGTGTCGGTGCAGAGAGAAAGGAGAGGTGTATGTGGGTCTCGGTAATATGGAACTCTATTTGCTGAAAGGTAATATGGCATCAAACTTCACTCAACTTTTTCTTTGGTAAATGGCTCTAGTCAACTTTTATTGTGACTTTTGAGGATGGAAGCAATAAAGCAACGATCAGATGTGGGATGCATTCTTGTCGCTAATTGCAGTGAAAAGTAAAGGGAAATTTGGAAGAACTGTTGTACCTTGGTGGAAAGTGACTAGGATATGGTGCATCAAAGGTGGTAATCAAACATGCAAATTGCAAAGAGTCATGCTCATGTATCATGAAAAAGCTATTTATCATAAGAAAAAATGTGTCCACTTGTGTATTCTTGAATTTTAATAGTAGACTGTAAATGACACAAGAAATCGATATGACAAAGAAATTGACGAACATTATGTTCTAACAAACATTAAAATTTCATCATGACAATCAAATGAGGACTTAAAAAATAAACAGTTCGAATCGTTCAAGTTCACTATATAATGAGTCCCATAACTAGTTTCCTTTCTTTAGGAACCGGATCCCCTTCGGACCCAAATGAATTGAGTCCAAAGATCAAATGATCCGAGCCATTGAAATTCGATCCAACGGCTGCAATTTTTATAACTTTTAGAGGACCCCTTGTTTGTAGTCGTTGGATCAAATTTCAATGACTCGGATCATTTGATGAGTGGGCTCAGTTTCTTTGGATCCCGAAGGGATCCGGTTCCTATTTTTTAAAACATAGAAATCCTTTCGAATTAAGACTCTGATATAAGTGAATTTAAAAGTAAAAACATAGAAATCCTTTCGAATTAAGACTCTGATATGAGTGAAGTTTGATGCCATATTACTCTTCACAATACACTCACTCTACACATAGAGATGATGAAGATAGTGAAAATTTTGAACCTCATAGGAACTCTATGTGGTACTAAGTCACTCATGTATCTTACCATGCAATGTATAAAGTGTAAAATACTGTACTAATTCATTATATATAAATGATTATGGTGTGTTTAGACTTCTTTTATTAATTACTACATATTTTCTATACTCACAATGTTTGTCAGCTCGCTATATAATCAACTTGATAATGTTAAATCCATCATGCAATGTATTTCCTTCCAATTTTTTTTTATAAACTAATAGATAATTGACTAAATAAACATCCTGCAAAGTTTCAATAAAAATTTCCAAGTTTTTCTTACAATTTCCGTGGTTTCCATGTAATTTTTATCGATATCGATATTATCCCGATATTTCCATCGATATTTCCGTGTTTTCGGACTACCGATATTTCCGATATTACCGATATTTTCTTCCTTGCTCTTGACATTTGATCAATTAGGGGTCAATAGGTGTAATACCCTAGAAAATTTAAAATATATGAAAACTTAGAAAATTTATCGATAAGTAGAAAATGCCCCTAGTTGATTAAACGTAATTTTACGAGGACGTAATTGTGAAGCCAAAAATATTCACAAGGCGACATGTGGATTTTTGACAAAACAAGACAAAACTACCCTTGGGGCATACCGGGATTCCTACGCGCAAGCAGCGGGCAATTATCCCTCAACCAAGTCAAAAGTGCCCAAAATAGGTATCAACTTAAAACCTAATTTATTCATATATTTCCTATTTCATTATTTAGCTAATCAATTAGCTAAATACTATACTTATTCCATAATTCCTAAAACATTCCTTCTAAAATAATGATAAATAGCTAATTAATGGGTTAATTAGCTAATTATTCCCTTAATTAGCATTTAGACCATTCACTTTACCCTAACTCCCACAAAAAGGCCGGTTAACTTTCATCCCCAAAAGAAGTCAGCCTTTCCTTCTACCTTTTTTCCTTTGTATGACAAATAATTAGCCAAGTTAATTAGGGAGTTATTGACTAATTATTTGGTAACTCCTAATTAAACCTAAATTAAACCCAAAAAACCCTAGCCACCTCATATCCCTATAAATATACTCTCATTCTCACCAAAAAGCCAATTCCAACACTTTGGCAAAAATCCCAAAATTCTCTAAACACTCTTTCTCTCTAAATTCTAACTTTGGCATCGGAGGTTCTTCGGCCAAAGCCCCCCCCCATTCATCGTGGGCGCGTGAGGCTCTTGGCCTTAACCTAAGGTGTTAATTGTTTTGTAGGTGTAAAATTGTCCAAGATCAAGGAGGAAGAAATTTGCATCCACAGTAGTCATATTTCCTGACATATTTAGATAGAGTTCGATCCTACGAACGCATAGGCGAAAACCGTTCGTGGAATGGAGTTATAACGAAGAAATTAGAGATGTTTTCGTTGTTGGCGAAGAATAAAAAAAAAAGGTTGGATGCTGCTAGATGGCAGCAAAAGAGAGAGAGGAAATAAGGGATACGGGAGAGAAAATGAGAAGGGGAAGGACAAATCAGAAGGGAAAGCAAGGAAGGAAATGAGGGAAGGGAGAAGAAGGAAACTGGCCAACCTGGTTCCTCCACCCGACCCGGTTCCTTGACCCGATCCTAACTTCTCTGTCCGACCTCAGTTTGAGGTGATTCCGGTGTCTATGGAAAGCTCTCATCAAGCCCAACATCCCTGTGGTGTTAGATTTCTAGGTTTCTAACCCAAATTCACAAATCGAAGGCACAAAACCCAAGGGTATCCTAGCGGCTTTATGCTTTTTTTTTTGGTGAATCTGTCAACGAATACCATCAATCTTCACCACCAAAAGACTTCCCTCAACCTTAGGAGCAAGGCCCAAGCCTTGGATGAGGCGTCGGAGTTCATTTTGGTGGCAAATCGACAACTACCCAAATTTTAGGGTTCCGACGAGTTCATGGGGATTTGAGGCTTTTCCCGGACAAATTGGACTTGGCCACAGGTATGAAACTTGTTCCCCTTATTGAGACCTACTTGCCTATAAAATTTGGTGATTTTTTTAAATAGTTGAATTTTCCGGCAAGTCGGGACGGTCGACTACCACCTGCAGCGGCGCGTGGCCAGAGGCCGTCAATGTTATTTTAAGCCAAATTAGATGTCTTAATTTTATATTTGATAATCATATGATGTAGGTTGATCATTTGAACCTAAATTTACTATGATACAGTGCTAGATTAATTTAGGAATCGATCATCCGACCGTTGGATCGTCACCAAACTTTGAGATCTTATAATACGTAATATTTGAGGACCTTGGGATCTTACAGATCGGAAATCCAATGAATGGATCTTCCTGAATTGGATTTGTAAGTTCGTAAAATAAAATGTCAACCGCCACTTGAATTCTTAATTGGCGCAGATCCAACCGTTGGATCTTGATGAAATTTTAATATATTGTTCTGGAAGCATAATGTGAACTACAAATGGCTTGATCTCTTCGCAGGGTACGTAGGTAGTCTAACAAGATGGTTAGATGCAGTCATAATAGGATTGAATTTAATTTATGGTGGTTAAGAGTCTATTTATTGACCATGAATTATTTGGGCCTACCTTAGTATCTGGCTTCCGAATTAACTTTTCGGGACGTTACAATAGGGATCTCTTGTGCGAAAACGTGGAACCCCTTATAGTGTTAGGGGACATTCTAGTACACCTGGTTGGAGAGATCGGGGTTCATCCTAGAATGGTCAACCTAACGACCAGGTTCATAAGTATAGACTGCCCTTCATCTTACAATGTGATCTTGGGACAACCATTTCTCATAGAGATGGACGTGATGATTAATCAGATGATGTTAATGATGAAGTTCCTAACCCTTGCAAGGGTAGGAATAGTCAAATGTGATCAAGTGTTAATAAAAGTGTTATGTGTCAACAGTAAAAGTGATGACTAAGGTGACAACTAAGGGGTTTGTATAAAAACTTTGAGGGTTACCTACACCAGACCCCAATACTTGTTGGAAGGCATAACCGCTTGTTCGAGCGGAAAAGTCACCCTATAAGCATTACCTGAGACGAATAGGACATGGTGACAAGTTAAGGAAGACCCAGTCTAAGGCATTTATGTGAAGCAGTAGGTAACTCATCAATTAAACTCTACATACAGAACTCTTTTGGCCTGTCAATGGTGGTTAACACCCGAGCAAAAAGAATAAGTTTTCAAGGGATACAGTAAAAGAAATAGTTTCATAATGTCCACAGCATAGGGCCAAGCGCTTGGGATAGAAGTATGCAGGCTAGGAAGACGGAGAAACTATGATAGAATATCGAAATGGGCAAATGGTACGAGACTTGACCCAGAACTAGTCATCGAGGCCGCTCAAAGGTAGGTAAGAGAAAAAGTTGGAAGAATGATCGCCTTGAAAAAAGTTGGCATTTGGATCAAAAACTAGTTAAATGGTGTAGGGGCATCGCCTTGGCCGAGCCGTATCAAAGTGGTAGAAACACCGAAACCACTTATTGTAAATAAAGGATTTACTCGCTCGACGACATCCTCCTAGGCTTTGGGAGTAGTAACCTCGATGAGGGTTTCT